CGCACAATTTTCGTTTTCATCTGGACACATTCCAGCAGCACCTGGTCTGTGACAAAGGCCACATGTAAATGGGCACATCGATAGTGCTACGCTAGGTACAGTTAAGCAAATATTTCTATCCAACCTTCGGCATGCATCGGGATTGACTGAAAAGAAAAAGTCGAACTTCTATGTTTCGATCTCTTTGAAGGTAAAAATAAAAGAGAACGACTGACCATCGTGACAGTTAAATTCCTTCGTTTTACAACACATCGCACATGTTCGTGGGCATGTTTTTGCTGCGAAATCCTTAACCTTGTTGCACAGCTCGGGAATCTTATAATGTTCATTCCTAGAACATATTACTGTTAAGGCGCTTCTTTTCTTTTTTCACCACCAGTCACCGCTTTGCCTTACTTTGCTTTACTAAATTCTCTCTTAAGTTTTTCACCACAGGTTCCTGTGTGAGAAAAATGTGGTTGCTTGGAACACATATACTCTTCAGTTTTATTCTTTTTATGGGTTGGAAATCGAGCCGATTTGTCATTCGATTCGCTAGTTCACTCATATTTTTGAAATCTTCTGAAGAGATATAGGCGTGAGCCATTCAAACTTACCATAATCAAGGTCATATTACTTTATAAATAATTTGAAATATAAAGGTCATTCAAAAGTAATTTAAACGATTAAAAAATTCATCATACTCATTCAAATTCTTTACTAAATCATCAAGAGCGCCTTGATCATAGAGAAATATCGATGAACAAACTGGATCCTCTGGACAAGAATTCACAATTGGTCGTCTTTTATCCCCAACTAGTTTAACGCATTCTTCAATATCCGCATTGCCTGCAAATGTCAGAGGCAGAAGGAAAAACGGTAGGATAACGGCGAACATAATTTTAGGTTCGTATTAACAAGTTTCATAAATACTTTTCATATATACTTTTATATAATCATTTAATATTTGTCGTAATAAACGTCTGCATTTAAAATTCAAAGAATGAACGAGGAAGAAAGCTGAGAAAACAAATGATATCAAACTTAAAAGACAAATATCGAAGATCGAAAATTTCTAGTAGGAAGCTTATGAGGCTTGTTGATCATTAATTTTTTCTCTCTGACTAAAACACAACATAACATTTAAATTGTATAACATTTAACTGCTTGTTTGCATTTCCGGCTTTCCGGTGATTTCCGGTGGCGGATCTCCGGAAAAATTGTTTTCTTTGCATGATTTATGGATTTTATTAGTGCACCATTCTACTGTTGTTAAAAAAAAACATTGCGTGTTGCTGTTAGTCCAGGAAGCATTTTATAAATATTATTACTGCAGTAATGTTAATAGGAATAAAATTAAATAGCAATTATGATGATAATAATATTAAAAACAAAGGGATATAGTGCCAATGCTACCAAGAATAGTGCGTAATTATTAAATACAATTTCCAATGAGCCTTTGCAATAAGTCTTCGTTACCAAGTAAAAAAGCCATGTGGTGATTTGCCAGCGTCATACGTTTGAAAGAAGTTAACTCTAGATGTTAGTAGAATTATACTGTAATTCTACTATTATTAGTATTACTAGTATTACCTATTATTACTAGTATTAGTGTATATAAAGTGGAAGCTTTAACTTTACAAGCTATACAAGCTATGCTATTTCTCAAAAAATAGAGTGAAGGTGTGAAGAAACTGAAGAATGTCTATGAATTTATAACCCGCTTATCGCTAACAATCAAAAAATAGTTACGAAAAAAAAACAAAATTAAAAATTTCTTGAAAAAATTGATTTTAAACAATGATTATGGTGGACTACTGTAATTCATTGTGTCAGCAATAAAAACATTTCAACGGAAGGCATAGTAGGAGATTAGAATAGGAATTCTCCGTTCATATATCCCCTATAATATTATTTTATTTTCGCTATGATATATTTTATTTCTTCATTCATTCCTTTCTCAAAATTCACAGTTCTTTGAAAATTTTAAAATTTTTAAAATTTATCTTCCTTGTTTCAGTAAATAGTATTTTTTCGTTGTACAAACTTAAAATCGGTTATAAACATTGATTTATTTTTCATTTCGTTAATTCCTTCAAAAATTCCTGGAATTTTTTTTTGAAAGCTCAAAAACTAATATCCGCTATAGTATTATTCGCGAAGACAAATATTTTTTTTAATTTTCATGCCACTTGTTTTTTCAGCTTTTTTCGTCATTTATTCATTGAATTTTATGCGCAGACACTTATTAAGAACAAATATTAAATGAATATATAAAAATATCAGTTTATGAACTTGATCAGAATTTAATCAGAATTTAAAATTATGTTTGCTGTTGTTCTACCATTTTTCCTTCTGCCTCTCGCATTTGCAGGCAATGCGGATATCGAAGAATGTGTTAAATTTGTTGGAAATGATCCTAAGAGACGACCAACTGTGGATTCTTGTCCAGAGGACCCCGTTTGTTCATCGATATTCGTCTTTAATCCTGATGGTGATATAGCAAACAACTTGAATGTGTATTAATTTTACGATTTACAATTAATAATTACATAATTAAATACTATTTCCGAAATACTATTAGTGTTTAAATTATTTCTGAAATTAGATATTTTTTCAAACGTTTTTCAAAAATATGAGGAGATAAGAGAATTGAGTAACACATTGTTTTCACCAAGAATTATAGGTTCAGTTACCAGCCCATGAATGGAATTAAATTGATGAACAAATTTAGATGGTTCACAACCGTATTATTACCTTCTTGCGAATCAGTGGGAAAGGACCACCATTCTTACTCATTACAGCTAAAAAATCAAAAATGATAAATGAGTAGTGTTAGAAAAAAAAAGGCCATATATACTTTAACAAATTAATAAATTTAATGAGATTATTGGTTTGATTTTCTTCCCTTGCAAATAACTCTCTCTTTTGCAGCAAAAAAATTCATATTGATCATCGATATTTATCTATGAAAATCATAATAATCAAGATCTAGCAAATAAAGTTAATATGTTAATATTTTTTAGCCCTTAAATTCTAATTACTTCTGAATGTCTAAGATTGCTGCAATAATTTTTGTAAATATATTTTTTTAATATATTTCTATATATTTTTTTATTAACCCACTTTGCCATAAATAACCGATTTCACTAATTTTTTGGTTTGCTGAATTTATGATGCAACCTGAATTATGATCCTAATAAGGTTGAGTTAATATATTTTTTTCAAAGTTGTTTCAAAAATATGATGAGGTAAGAGAGAAGGTTCACATATTGCTTCGGCAGGTCAATTCTTAACTGGGACAATATCTTAACTGAAGATATGCTTGGATAGTTCCACTTGAAGCCATAGTGAATTTGTGGGAGATGAACACCATTCCAATATTCAATGAAATTAAAGTAGCCCGTGGGTAAATAAGTACTGTTAGAAAAAAAAGGTCAATTGCAATTTTTCATGGCTTTTTTTTCAAGATAAAACAGCTACATTTTATATATAAAATTTTTATATATGAAAATATAATTTAAAAATATATAAAAATTAAAACATATAATTATATAAATATATATAAATATTGATATATAATTTAAAAATATATAAAAATATATAGAAATATATAAAAATTTCTTATAGAGCGAATGATTATAAGATTCCTCAGCTATGTAATACGATAAAAGATTTCGCAGCAAAAACGTGTCCGAATACGTGTGCGATGTGTTGTAAAACAAAGGAATTTAACTGTCATGATGGTCAGTCGCCTTTTTTTATTTTTATTTTTAACTTTAATAAGAGCGAATCATGGAACTTGGATTTTTTTGTTTTCAGTCAATCCCGATGCATGCCAAAGGCTGGGTCGTAATATTTGCACTGCAATACCTAGTGTAGCTTTATTGATGTGCCCGTTTACATGTGGTCTTTGTAATAGACCAGGTGCTGGTGGAATATGTCCAGATGAGAGCGATAATTGTGCAGCTATTTTCCGTTTGGATCCTACGTGCAGTACGGATTTCATGAAGAGATCTTGCAAAAAGACGTGTGGACTTAGAGATTGCTTACCAGGTATTCTCAATATTTTTGCAATAAATTCCAGTCTTGCAATTCAAATCCTCCATTTTTTTTTGATTTTTAATACTTTCGGTTAATGATTATTTGTTTACAGTTTTTTTCCTGTATTTAAGCTTATTTTTAAAAATCTAACCAAAATCTTTTGCACTACAGGTAATGCAACTTCAACTTCATCGTCAACTTGCACCGATTTGCACCCTCAATGTCGAGAAAATGTCCGGTATTGCAATATAGGCGACTATGGAGTTGTAATGAGCATAGTTTGCAGATTAACTTGTCGTCATTGCACTCCTTAGAATCATTTTTTAAATAATTCTATCTAATTATCTTCTTGTATTGATATCAAATCTAAATAAAATTTGTATTTTTTCTTACTTGTATTTGCAAAATGAATTGTTTAGTTCAATATCAGCTTATCATCAACGTCATGAATTTCTTCTGTCAAAAAATGTCATGAAATATCTCTCCTTATTTTACTTTTCATGTGAAATTGATGCGAAAGCTCTATTGGCTTTAAGCAGAACTTTTTGCATAGGACAATTTGCGCAATAGTTTAATAGTTCTTTCTGCTATAGAAAAATCTGCTGTAGAACTGCAATTGAAGTTGTGATGATTTGAGAATATAGAATCTTCACTGGGACTCTTTAGAAATTCATTCTGTACTTGATAATCGTTCTTAATAGGCTGTTGAAACTGGTAACCGCCATGGATTAAATTATGTTATGGTTCAAGGCATGATTCGTATGAAACTGACAAGTCCTGAGAAACAACGTATCCCAAGTCCTTACAACCATCTTAAATTAAAAGATCCGAGAATGTTTAAGCACATTTTAAACCGCATTATTGAAACACCTCAGTGAAATGAACATCGATAACATCACTGGAAAGGCGAATGAATACTGGTCCCAACTAAAGACATACCTACAAAATCATCCACTTCCACATTAGGGTATACAAGTAAGAAGTATGCTAGTTGGGTATTGGAAATAACTGTCCAACTGTCTGAAAAAGCTACCAAAGCCAAAATATCAGGAGATCCTGACTGCCGGGTGCTTCGAAGAATTACAACGAAAGCAGCACAGCGGGACAGAAATTGCTATTGGAGTGATATGACCTTGAAAATGGAGTCGGGAGGCTCGCATTAGGATAGTAGGAAACTGTTTCGCCTTTTCCGCAAAAGCAACTATAAAACTCAGAAGGGGCTAGTGAAATCGTACTATTAATGGGATCCCTATAAGCGGTCGAGGATACCTCAGAAGATGGAAAAAATTTTTTGAGGCCAAACTCAACCACGGCATACCATCTATCATCCCGAATATAACTGATTTGTCCGTTGAACCTTATGTTTGCAATTGTGAGCCGTCAACAGAAGTAATCCATAAGCTTAAAGCTAGTAAAACTCCCGGAGAAGATGGTCTTTAGGCCGAACTCTTCAAATGTTATCCATCATCGTTCTTAACTCACTTTAATAAATGTATTCTCTGGTATGGCAAAAAGAAATAATACCAGAAGACTGGAGTAAAGCAATTCTGCTTCTTATTCCTAAGAAAGATGATAGGACGTAATGCGACAATTATCGAGAAATCAATCTACTGGACAGAAAATTTTCACTTCACTTCTGCTAAATAAACTCATTACAACACGAGATGGCAGAATGCGTCCTAATCAAGCTGGATTGAGACCAGTAGCTGTGCTGACCAGATATTTACGCTAAGAAGGGTGCTGGCACATCGCTTCAAATACCAGCAACCCATCGTTATTTGCTTTATCGATTTTGCAGCTGCTTTAGACTCGATTAATAGAGAAGCGCTCTGGAAAATGAAGGAAGGTGTCACAGAGATCATTCGACTCATAGAGGCATTTTGTCAGCATACCCTGGCGCAAGTCTGTATATATCGGGAACTGACTCTTTTGAATAAAAACTGGTGTAGGTCAGGGCCGCGTCCTTTCCGCCACAATATTTAACTATGCAATAGACTGGATAATCAGTATCGCTTGTCGGCACTCAGGAGGTGTGCAAATTCCAGAATATAACATCACAGACCAAGAATACGCTGATGATGTAGTCCTTTTTGCTGACAGTTATGAAGAAATGCAAATAAAATTAGATAATGTGACAGCAACTGCAGAAAGAACTCAAACTCAAAATCATTTAAATAAAACAAATTAAATCATTTAAATTAAAGAAACTTTCGTCTCATATACAAGATACTGATAAATTACCTATTTTTATTCACTGGGTTCAGGAACTACTCGACTTTAAAGATTCACGCATCCACTCTAATCACAAAATGGCCAGACAAATGGTCAGACAGATGAAATCGTAATCCGGATCACGGCAGAATTGTTTTTCCTATTTATGAAACCTTTATGGAACCATCGCAAAATCACCATAAAGAAAATCCGCGTCCATGAAGCTCCAATTCGTTCAATCTTACTATATGGATGTGAAACGTGGCCAATGAGAGTGGAAGAAATTACGAAGCTATTAGCTTTTGACCATTCATATCTAAGGTATATTCAACGGATCCACCGGGCCGATAAAATCTCACATAACTTTATCCACTTTCGTTCAAATACCACTTGCTTAATAATGTTATCACAGAGCATCGTCTTCGCAGGCTAAGACACGTTCTACGTCGTTCATAGCAGGAGTTGACGCATATTTCGCTATTTGATAAACCATGTGATGGATGGTGTCAAAAGCGAGGTGAGCCAATCAAGACCTGGACTAATACAATAAAAAAAATATAGGAGGACCAACGACAAATGAACTTAGACGATAGGAAAAGGAATGGCTTCCATTACTACTAGCGATGGCGTAAAGGAATGGCTTCCATTACTACTATCGGACCGAGCTTGGAAACTTCTTACTTTTGTAGGCAGCGGAGCAAGCCTAACCAGTAATGGTTAGAGCTATTAGATGAAGTATCAATAATATCATCAAAAAGTGGTGGAGAATAAGGAGCTAACCGAGTTTCTTCACTGAGAAATTTGTAATCTTGGCAAATTCTACTTCTCCTTTGGGTAATATGAACATGATTAGAACGACTCTATCGAAGATGGGACCAGCTCGTGCAGTTTAAAAACATCCTACCCTTTTAGCCAGTGGAACTAACCTAACTAGTAATGGTAGGAGCCGTTAGATTGTAAAGAAAAAAATATGGCTATTCACAAAAGTATATTTAAAATATTTGAGGAAAATATTTTAAAAGCCATACAAATAATCCGAAATAAACAATAATGGATGATACCCATTTTTCATCTCCGATAACACAAGATTACTGAAGCCGATTACTGATGACAGCTTTTCGATGTGAAACAAGGTAAAAATATTTTTATTTTGGTCTTTCAACAAGAATATAATTGAAAAATAGTATGAAAAAAGAGTAGTTGATTCTAAGGAGTGCAATGATGACAAGTTAATCTGCAAACTCTTCTCATTACAACGGCATAGTCGCCGATATTGCAATACCGTGCATTTGCTTGACATTGAGGATGTAAATCGGTGCAAGTTGACGACGAAGTTGCATTACCTGCAGTGCAAAAGATTTTGGTTAGATTTTTGAATATTTGCCTAAATACAAGAAATAAATTTAATTAATCGCTATTATCCGAAAATATTGTTTTGTCCATCTATGGCTATAATAGAAAGGTTATTCGCTACAAAAAATGTATCTTGTGATGCGAAATTCGGAAGGTAACCTGGTAGGCAGTCCCTTAGTCCACAAGTTTTTTTGCAAGACCTCTTCATGAAGTCTCTACTGCAACTAGGGTCCAAAGCGAATAGAGCCCTACAGTTTTCGTTTTCATCTGGACACATTCCGCCAGCACCCGGTCTATTACAAAGACCACATGTAGATGGGCATATCGATAAAGCGATACTAGGTGAAGTGAAGTTGTACAAATATTTCGACCCAACTTTTGGCATGCATCGGCATTAACTGAAAGGAAACAATTCGAACTTCCATGATTCACTACTTTTTGGAGTTGAAAATAAGAAAAAACGGCTAACCATCGTTACAATTATATTCCTTCGTCTTACAACACATCGCACACGTATTCGGACACGTTTTTGCTGCGAAATCTTTTATCGTATTACATAGTTGAGGAATTTTATAATCATTCATTCTACAAAGAATTTTTTTACTACAAAAAATATAGGTATTTGCCAGGGAACAAAATAAAATGAAACCGATAAGCCTATTAAATGTATGTGTCTTTTTTAACTACCCATTTCTGGTTTTTTAGCTATAATGAATGGGAATGATGGTCCTTTCCCACTGCAAAGTAATAATACGGTTATGGGCCATCTTCGTTCATCATTTTCACTCCATCCATGTGTTGGTAATCGAACTTATAATTCTTGGTGAAAATAATATATTATTTAATTCTCTTATCTTCTCATATTTTTGAAAAAGCTTTGAACAAAATATCTAATTCTAGTAATAATTTAATCACTAATAGTAATGGAAATAGTGTGTAATAATCGTAAAATTCATACATATTCAAATTGTTTGCTATATCAGCAGGAGGATTAAAGACAAATATCGTTGAACAAACGGGATCCTCTGGACAAGAATCCACAGTTGGTCGTTTTTTATGATCATTTCCAACTAGTTTAACACATTCTTCGATATCCACATTGTCTGCAAATGCGAGAGGCAGAAGAAAAAACAATGGGATAGCAGTTAACATAATTTTAGATTCTGATAAAATAGTTCGTGATTGCGTACTTTTATATAATCGCTTATTATTTGACTCAATAAGCGCTTACACTTAAAATTTAAAGAATGAACGATAAAGAAGGCTGAAAAAACAACTGATACTCTATATCAAACTCTATACCAAAAGCTGTTCATACCGAATCGCATACCGAACTGAATCGCTTCTAATGGAAGTAAACGATTTTTTGATCTATGATTATTCTCTGAAGAATATTTTTTTTGATATTGATTTCGTGAATTTTTAATTTTCAAATTCAATCCTTTAATTTTGCTTATAAATTTCAGTTCCAGCAAAACTAACACATCCTTAATTTGTAAACTCTAAAACTGAATTGATACAATAGGAAAAAAGCTTTGATGCTTATGTTCAAGAAGGTTGAATGAATGGCTTTGTGCTCATCTCGGTTCAAATAATGGTTCTTTATTCGTGTAAATCATTTATAATCATTTAATCGTTATAACCGTTACAATAACCGTTATATACGATTTTCGATAAATATTTCCAACTTAATGGGAGATTTTATAACAGAACAGTCATCATTGCTGGTTAGACTCGTTCATCTGGCCTATCGTACTAAATGTGCCAGAGTCCCTTCATGATAAAATGTAAATGAGTCGCTATTATCACCTGATTATGAAAGATTTGTCCATAGCAAAGGGATAATTTCTGCAAATTATGATATAGAAATTTATAGAACTTTTATAAGATTTCTATGATTTAATCATTTTATTCCATTGCTCTTAATTTCTAAGTAATCGAATTCTTTAAATTTTTAAGTAATTTTTTTCTCGATTTTGGCGGATTCTTTAGGCAGGTTAATCCTTGATGGAAATTCATTTCTTTTTTCTTCTTCACAGTCTTATTTAATTAGTGTTTAAAGTGGCTAAATGGGATTGTGGGATTTATCCATTTATCGAGCGCATTTAAATGCATTTAAGAGTATATATAACTTTGTCCACTGTCATTGGTCATGCTTTGCAGTAATATAAAAGGTTAGCCAATATTAACATTCACTGCTAAAAATTTTAGCAATTTCAATTTTTATAAAATATCGCATAAATGATGATTTTAAAAAAGTAATAGAGCTCATCACATTTATATGAAAAAAAAAATTGCTTATAAATAATTCAGTAATAATTCATTATTAAGATGATTCAGTGAATTTTTTCATCATAATATAAGTATATTTATATAAGTATACATAATATAAGTATATTTTCATCGATGGTTAATTATACTCAGTAAAATTTGGTTAAAATCAAGGAAATATAAAAACAAGTATGAAAAATTTTTCGAATTATTTTTTTAAAAAAAATTTCAATTTCAAAAAATATTGATTTCAAAAAAGATTTTAAAAAAGATAATAATTTAAATAATTTAAATTCTAATATTTGTAAATTTTACAAATATTTCAAATTTTTTTTTGCTAAAGATGAACAATATAAATCAAATAAAAAATTCCTTATTAAAGATATAATAAAGGAAAAAAAAATTTCATCATTTCGTATTTCGATCAAAATTTCTTTTTCCTTTTCATAGCTTTTCCCAACAATCTAACAAAAAAATTATCCCCTATATAGAAAATACAATAATATTTATTGTATTTTGACTATATATATTGTATATTCCCAAAAACGTCAAAAAATTATTCGGCGATCTTTTTTGTCTTTTTGAAATAATTTATGATTTTTGATAGTGCATTAATCTACATTTATTTAAACATAGCGCTAATGCCAATTCCGGAAATATTTCAGGAATGTTATTTGGAAATATTATGAATATTGATTGTTATTATTTCAGCATTACATTATTACATTATATTGCATTATTTTAATATTTTTATTTTATTTTATTATTATATTTTATTTTATTTTAATAATAGTTTCGTAATATAAACAATGAATGCAATATCATTAAAATTATAAAAATGAAAATAAAGCGATATAATATTAAAAAAACGAATAAGAAAATTATTGGCAATTATATTAAGCAATATACTAATAATAAATATTATTTAATAAAAAAGTAGCTATAGTAATGGAATTTATTTATAGAAAGGCAGTTTATCTTATGGTACTGGTATATTCATGGTGAGGTTGGAATCCATGTTTAAGTTTGAGAATTCAAACAGATTTTCTTTATCCAAAAAAAAATTTTTTTAAAATCACCATTATTTTAATAGCTACATGTTATAAAGTGAGACCTTTTTACATTTCGTAAAAATTACGTAAAATATACGTGAAAATCAAGCAGAATTTTAAAAATCATTTTTTTAGCCATATTTAAAGTATAACTGATAAATGATAATATCCATTGCAGTGACAAAAACAAGTGATAAAAAAGTTTTTTAATTCATCAAAAAATCAAGCAAATAATTGGAAAATTCGTTCAATATTCTTTGTTTGAACAGTGAAATTTTCAGGCATAAATAAATAGAAAGGAGTATAAAAGGGTTTCTAATAGTGCTAATTAAATTATTCGAGTTACGGGTGCAACTGAGGATGTATTTCTTTTATTTGCCTCTTTTATTTTTCATTTCTTGCATAAATGCTGGAGATATGCCAATTAACGTATGCAATATGGCGGTTCAACCGCCGCCAGCTCAGCCGCCTCAACCTCCTGCTGCTGTACAGCGTCCAACGGTCGATCCAAACTTATGCGCGGATCTCGACCCACCAGCATGTTCGGCCATATTCACATTGGAGCAAGCAGGTGATACACTTCGAGATCAGCTTGATAGGTAATAAAAAATTTTCTCTATTCATTTAATCATCCACATTTTAAAAAAGTGGATATTGTTCTTACAGCCTTAGAAGAAAATTTTTGCAAAAAATCAAATAATTCGAAATGATAATAAGTAAAAAACTGTTATCTTAATTTTTCGATAGAAATGCGCAATTTCAGTACAAAGGATTACAAAGTAAGCCAAAAATGCCAACAACCAGATTATATGCGCTTAGCTGAACAGTTATGTCCTCGCACATGCGCAACGTGCTGCAGAACAAGAAAGTTCAATTGCAGAAATGGTATTAATTTATTTAAAAAACTTTTATTTAAGTTATTTTGAAAATTTAAAGTTATACAATTTAAAATATAAAAATAGTTAATAAATGCCTTCGATATATTGAACTTTTCAGTTGGACAATGCGGAAATTTTACGCAAGAAATGTGCAGAACGCCTTCTCTTAGCAGAATAGCATTAGAACTGTGTCCACATACATGTGGACTTTGTGATTTACCTGGTGCTGGTGGTGAATGTCCGGACAACATTGATGGATGCGAAAGTTTAAAAGGACTCTGTCATGATGATCCTATCAAAAACATGTGCCAGAGAACGTGTTCTTCACGAGCTTGTCTTCAAAATCTCACAAGTGAGTTATAGGAACATTTATTGTCATATTTATTGTCATTAGTTCCACTTTTCCCCCTTTCATTAAGATTTAGTGAGCAAAAAATAGTAATACGAATAATACGAATAAGCTACTATCACTAAAATTAGTGCATTTTTCTCCATACATGACATATTATTGAAATATACAGGGGGATATTGTCGTTACAATCTAATAGAACAATGATTTTGTTTTCAGCAGCAGCCTCGCAATCCAGTAGTTGCACTGATGCACACGCTAATTGTACATTATATCAGAATCTTTGCAACATTGGTGACTATGGAGTTGTAATGAGAACGCAATGTAGGCGAACTTGCCGTCATTGCTGATCGACACAAGACTATTGTATATTAGACTTTCTCAAGAACTACTTTCTATTTACTGAAAAATACAATTTTTATAATAAGTTATTTATTTTTAATTAATTAAAATAAGTTATTTTATAAATTATTAAGTTGTAAAATTTATAAGCTATAAACTTATAGTAATTATAAATTATAAATTTCTTTAATTATTATTATTAAATATTAAAATTTCTTTAATTATTATACTACTATATATAATATAATATTTAATATAATTTACTGTAGATTTTCTATTATCATTATTATCAGTGCTATTGTTATCACTCCTTCTGATAATTTTTTGTATTTTGTGAAATATTATTCAATAAACAATACATATAATCAGTGAGACAAAAAGTCATTAGTTTATCTACGAATGAATTGATTATTTTTTCGTTGAAGTCTATAGTCTTGTTGGTTCAAACTAATTTTATCGGAGAATTATTGAGAGAATTATGAGTGAATTATCAGCATTAGCCAAGTTTTTATAAGATAAAATGACTCTTTTCAGAACGAGATTAACATTAGTTCTGCAACATGATTATACTAACTTAGCCATTCTACTTCCCAAAAGATACCACACGAAGTAGTTATAATTTTCCACTTTCAAAAAAGCGGAAACTAACATATTTATATTAATGTGGTGCTAAAAATCTAACAGTGCTTCACAAAAATGGTTTTCAGTCGCATCATTAATTATTGGAATAAGCCGACGCACTATGTGATTTGTTCATAACTTTTCGCTGTGATACTTGCATAATGGTACTTAAAAATTTTACAGGATTTTCTATTATCATTATTATCAGTGCTATTGTTTTAAATCTGAAATTTTTCAGCATGCGATTATGCATCAGTAATAAATTTGGCTCGATTTATATTATTCTCTAATTTTTCATTTTTTATAATATTTTCCTTCCTTTTTACCTTTTTTTATATTTTTATATTTTATATTTTTACATCGATATCAATAAAATTTTTTCCTTTGGCCCTTTTTTTATTGCTAATGCAAACAGAGAGCGTTCATCTTGCTTGTTTGAACAATTTAATATGCAGATTTTGATTTTTTAATCAGTTTCATTTCTAATCAGTTTGTGATGATAATATTCGCTTGAACTGAGTTCTTTTAAGTGCATCAATTAAATTATTTCCCAATATATTTGTGCAGAAAGAAACGCGGATGGCGATTCCTACTTCCAATATATAATTTCCTTAAAGCTTCTTCAGGAATCTGTTCTACTTCTGTATAGAATTTTAAAGTTCCTACCACGCTGTTGTTTTTAATCTAATAAAATGGCAATATATAGTCGAACTAGCGTTCTCCTTACACAAATGTCGCTGCGGATGGTCCTACCCTCAAACTTGAGTAATTAAACCATTTATTTTAAATATATATATAAATATATATATATTTTTTAAGTTTTCACGATTACTGGTCAAACTCGCTCCACTGGCTTGTCGCATTCGATAAATATGCCAGAGAGCTTTTTGACGATGGAAATACAGGTGAGTTGCCAGCATCACCCAGATTTATGGACAGGTTTATACTTGCAAGGAATAGAACCTTGGCGTTCCAAATTGAGCAACAACCCACTAAGCCACCCTATCCAATGTAAATATATATCAATAAATACAAACAAAAGAGAAATCACAATATACCATCAAATTTTACAATCTGGTGCGGCACATGCACCGAATAGAAAAATTAATGGATGGCGCACTTGGCATTCAGATTTCCATTTGATAGTCAATAGAGTTTTCGAATCAATTTCATGATTTGTTTGACAGATATTAGAGCTTCGCTTTCTAAAGAAATTCATGATAAAAATTGGAATCATTAGTGGATGTTTAAGCTTTTGCACAAATAAGAATAAAACATTTTTTTATTTCGATAATAAAACAAGGTCAAAATGAAATTGAATTGCGATAAAAAAAATGATTCTAAGGAGGACAGTGATGACAAACACTCTTCTCATTAAAATTCCATAGTCGCCATTACATAATCGGTAATTTTTTCGATACTGTGGATGTAAATCGGTACAAACTGCTGGTGAAGTAGAAATAGCATTAGTAAGTGCCATCGAAAAACTTTTGCGCATATACGTGTACAAATTTTAATTTTTTAATGGATAGCCATTAAAATTGGCAGCAATAGGGAGCGGCAACAACAATACGATTTATTCCTCAAAGATTGCAATATAAAGGCTACTTGCTTTATGAGACCTTTGGCAAGAACTTCTAAAACTAACCTAGTCTCTTAGACCACATTTATTTTTGCAAGATCTTTTCATGAAATCTATACTGCATATAGGATCTTAACGGAAAATAGCCGCACAATTATCGTTTTTATCTGGACAAATTCCAGCAGCACCTGACCTATTACAGAAACCGCATGTAAATGGGCTAATCGAATTGCTACGCTAGTATAGTTATGCAAATATTTCCATCTAACCTTTGGCATACTGACCATCATGACAGTTAAATCTCCTTCGTTTCCATGCATACCATCCATATGCATTTGGGTTTGTTTCTGGTGCGAAATCTTTGATCGTATTGCATACCTGAGGAACCTTATAGTTATTCATTCTAAAGAGAATTTTTCTCTACATTTATATATATATATATATATAAATTTTTTACTCACCAGCAAAATGAAACCATACCTTTTATATACCTTTTAATAAACCTATTAAATGTGTAATATAATATAATTAAATTGTAATTTAATATAATTTAATATAATTTAATTGTAATTTAAAATTTAAATGTGTAATTTAAAATTAAAATTTAAACTGCTATTAATTGGGGCAAATAGTTTTTTATTCTATAAATATAAATTTTTATATAAATTTTTTGCCACTAACGATTAACTGCTAGAAATTTTAGCAAATTTTTATGAAATTTAAATTTTAAAATTTAGTAAAATTTATATAAATAAATAATTAAAATAAAAAGAAACTAAATAATCAATGAAACTTCTCCATAAATTTTAATAAAAATTCAAGAATATTAACTATGAACTATTATCTGAGAAAAAAATATTTACTATATTGAAAATTTAATAATAACCTAATTTTTTCCACTATATAAAATTTATTTATTGTACATTTTTGTTATTTTGTAGTTTGCTCATATTTATATTATTTTCTTTTAAAGTTGAAGAAGAAATGCCTTAATCTAAATTTTGCAGTTATTTTTAGGGTAAATAAGTGCATGAATAAAATAGATTTGTCCAAGCTTTTCTAGCTTCTATTCAATAATTGTGCACGTTTAAGATTTCTAAAAAATTCTGAAGAACTATTTGAGAGATTCGAGAAGTTTCTCATAGATAATTTCTCCTCTATACAAAAGCAAAAATATAGTACAAATTAAGTCGAATATCAGTGGTGATCGATGATAATTATGATGGAAATTAGTGGGAGATGATGATAAAAAATTTTAATTTCTTAATAAATTATAGAATATTGACGCATTATTTATAGATTAAATAATAAATTTAATAAATAAATAAAATAAATAATAAATTTCCCAATAAATTATAGAAATAAATTAAAAAATATAAGAAAAAAAATAGAGTTTATCATAATTAGGAAAAAGAATCGGTTAAGTATTTGTCATTATTTAAATAATTCGTTGAAGGCAATGCCTCCATACAATGCAAATAAATTGGTGGCTAGTTATGTTCAATAAAATTAGCAAAAATTTAAAAAAGGCTAAAAATAAAAATTTTTTTTAATAAAAATCTTTTTCAAAAGATAATGATGAAAGAAGAAGATTATTATTGCAGAAAAGATTCGATAATTTAGTTAGTAAAAATTGAAAAAAAGAATTTTTGGTGAAATTTTAAAAGCTAAGTAGCTAAGAAAGCTAAAAAAACAAAGCAGGTTAAATAAAAATTTGCTTAGTACATGTAATGTCACGAAACGGCGAAAGCATAAAAAAATTTACCAGGCTCTTCTCAACTCCTTTTATTCTTGGCTCGCTAAGCTTTCACCTTCTTTGGGCCATGCATTC